AAAGAAAGATTAGTGAGGCAAATTGCAGCCCCCGTGGCTGTGCTGGTCTCGAGGCCACAGATACTAATTATTCTCCATTCTAAATTACTCTCAGCCTCAGCGAGCACTTCTGCTCCTCTAGGTGGCTTACCATTAATGTGCCCAGATGTGCATCTCTGAGGACTCAGACTCCTTCTCAAGCCATGGAACTATACTTGGAGATGTACCACTAACACTGGACACAACCACAAGACAATAAATCTTCCCAGGCTTCACCTGGGCTTAAATTCTCAGAGATTTGTTTTCCTCCCTCCACCCACTGCCAAGGTTGAAACATGCAAGATGCTCTTCTCTTTCTTTCTGTGTGGTGGATTTTTTTCTGGATTATATCTACACTGAGGGTACAATCCTTGTCTGCATTTTATGTTGGGGGTTCTTCTAGTAGACTGCCCAGGAATCCATGGCAATCAATGGATTCATAGATTCCATGAGATATTCCCCCCTCTATTAGGCTGAATGATATTCTCATAGATACCAGGTTCTATTCCCTGGAAACTTTAAGTGTTTCCTTACATGGTAAAGTCTTTGTATATGTGATTGAGTTAAGGACTTTGAGATGGGACATTATCCTGGATTATCCAGGCATGCCTTAAATGCCATGACAAGCGTCATTAAAAAAGACAGGCAGGGGCTGGCCCCATGGCACAGTGGTTAAGTTCAGCATGCTCTGCTTTGGTGGCCTAGATTCTTGAGTTTGGATCCCTGGCATGGACCTACACCACTCATCAGCCATGGTGTGGTGGTGACCCACATATGAGGTAGAGGAAGATTGGCATAGATCTAAGCTCAGGGCTAATCTTCCTCAAGCAAAAAAAAAAAAAAGACAGGCAGGGGAAATTAGACACATAGAGAGCAGAAGGCAATGTAAAAACAGAGCTCAGAAAAATTTGAAGATTGGAGTGAAGTGGCCATAAGCCACGGAATGTTAGAAGCCACCAGAAGCTGGAAGAAGCAAGGAATGGGTCATCCCCTAGGGCCTCTGGAGGGAAATAACTTGCTGACACCTTGGTTTCAGACATCTGCCTTCTGGAACTGTGAGAGAATAAATTCCTGTTGTTTTAAGCCCCCTAAATTGTGGTTACTTGTTATAGCAACCGTAAGAAACAAATGCACCCACAGTGCTACTCCCAAGACTCGGTTCTCCATTGACTCCATTTCCTTTGACATTTTCATATGAAACTTCTGGAGCTGGAGGCCATATAGTAAAAGTAGAGGTCTGACACCAGCTCTGGAATCAGACAGCCTGGGTTTAAATATTGGCTCGATCAATTTCTAGCTATGTGACCTCAGACACATGACTTAACCTTTTTAAACCTCAATTTCCTGATCTGCAAAATGGGAGTCATAATCACATCACGTAGGCATACTATGAGGATTAAATTAGATGAGCACATAAAGTGTTAAAGCGTCAGGTACAATGTGGTGCACATTAGTATTAGCTATTACTATTATCATATCTTTTTTTTTTTTTTTTTAAGGATTGGCATCTGGGCTAACAACTGTTGCCAATCTTGTTTTTTTTTTTTTTTTCTGCTTTATCTCCCCAAACCCCACCCCGGTACATAGTTGTATATCTTAGTTGCAGGTCCTTCCGGATCCTCGGCGCGGACATGGCACTGCTCATCAGACCACGTTGAGACATGGGATGTGGGACGCCATCTCAACGTGGTCTGATGAGCAGTGCCATGTCGGCGCCGAGGATCCGAACCCTGGGCCACCGCAGCTGAGTGCGTGATCTTAACCACTTGGCCACGGAGCCGGCCCCATCATATCTTTTAATCAAATTATATATGCCAAAAATATATAGTTTGATTAAAATAATTTGATTAAAATATGTGCTAATAGTATATACCAATAAATACAAATAATTATGTTCTCTATATGTTTATTAAGGACTTACTAGGTCTCAGGCAACTCTCTGTGCCTCAGTTTCTCTATCTAAAACATAAGGAAAATAATAGTACTGACTTTAAGGAGATATTATGAGGATTAAGTGGGGACAGTTCACAATAAGCACTTAGCACACTGCAGGGCATATAAGAAGCATGAGCTGTTGTAAGTACATCTATGCAGTATCTCACTTAATCCTCACCACAGCTCTATGAAATTGATACCATTGTCACCCACATTTTATACACAAGAGTTGGAATAATTGTTCAAGTGCACAGAACTAGTATTGTCTGTGCCAGGATTCAAGCCCATGCCTGTAGGAGATTAGAGTCTGAGAGCTCCATCATTTCCACCTGTCAATGGAAAATAGCTTCTACCACTTTAGACTTTATTCTTTCAGCGCAGATTCTAAGTGTACTCTCTACCATATAGAAGATCTCCAAGTGATCTCTCAACCATAGAGGAATGTCTTCTTGAGAATAATAAAGGAACATGTTAGCAATTCTCGTGATAGAAGTTTTCAGGCAGTAGGAAACATTTGTAGGTAATTACCTTGCTATTCTATCTCTCAAACTTCAGTATCATCAAGAAACCTTTCAAATGTCCCTGTTTCATAAGAATTAATTGTGGAGAATGCTATATCTTCCTACATGTCAACTGGTAAGCATTTTTGGAAAGTTAATGACTTTGTGTTTATCTAGTGTTCTCCATACAATTACCTAGGAACCTGGAAATATGAGAATACTATGCCTGCAAATACTTTGGAAGCATTTTTCTGGTTTATGGAAGTGATTATGAATCACCAAATCAAGCTATTTTTTGTATAAAGACATTAACATTATTCCCTAAATTTTCAGTTTTATTCATTCATTTGTTTATTCAACATTTGTTGGGTGAGTGCCTAGGACATAATGGACATTGTCCTGGCCGATGGGCTCTCAGTAATGAAAAAGACTTATCAAGGTCTCTCAAATAAAGCCTACTTTCTGGTGTTGAAAGATTCATTTAATCAACCAGCCAACTAGAAAATATCAAATAGTAAATGAATGTTCTGGAGAGAAATAAAACAGGGAGGGACCAGATGACAAGAATGCATTCATTAAACCATTACTGATCATTCGTTAAGTAACCATCATGAGGACATAACATGAAAAAAATTATGTACTCTTCCCCCAAGGAGTTTGAAGGCTAGGTTTAGCTGTACTGGGAGACAAGGTGAGATGTGATATAGGAAAAGTACGGAAAAAGTTAAAATGGGTCCAATGTGAACAAAAATCACTTCCAGATAGGAGGACAAGGTAAGGAGCTTTATAGGAGCTTAAAAGGTGAATCTTTAAGGATGGATGAGTTTCTGCATGTAGGAAGTGATAGGAAGAAAAACAGACCCAAAATAGAGTAAATGTGAGCAGAGCAGGAAAGCAGTAAATCACAAGTGGTCTAGCTGGGATGGAGGAGAGGGATTGTGTAGAGAACTAGAGGGAAATATAGGAGGGCCATGGGTTTAATCAGATCACAGAGCCCTTGATGGCCAGCGTAAGGATCAGACTGTATTCAGGAAAAATGAAATAGTTTTGATGCAGTGAGTGACATGTTCAGTGTTGTGCTGTGAGGAGTTTGAAGACAGTGAGGAGTTTTGGAGAGGTAAAACTCTAAAGACAAGGACACCACTTGGGAGGCTATTGCAGTAGACCAGGCATAAGGGATGGGTGTTTATCTGGGATGATGATGGTGGGAATGGAAAGAAGAGAGTGGCCAACATTTTTTCTGCTATAGATAGATAAGATTTTGTGACTCCATGTGTGCAGGATGGGAGGGGAGAGGAGATGGTGGATAAGACTAGGTAATAGAGACCAGGATGAGAAAAATGTGGATGAGAATGACCTAGTGGACAGAGGTCTAAATGATGGAGGTAAAAGCTGTAACATTAGGACCTTCACTATCTCTCTGCTTTGGTTCACATTTCTTCATTTGATAGACTGCTGGATTCACCCTCTTTCCACGTCCAAATATATCAAAATTCAAATCAAATGAGAGGCTCAATACATTCAGTAATATTTATTAAATGCCTATCCTAGGCTATATATATATATTTCTTGATTCAGAGTTTCTTGATAGTTTCTTGATAGTAGAGTCTATATATGTTTCTTGATAGTAGAGGCCTTTTGTTTCCTCTTCTCAGTTTCTTTAATGCTTCATCTGTGCCTTTGCTAGAGCATTTGTTACTTTCTACCTTGAATTCCAGGAATCGAGGTACCGGCTATCTCCTCTAATAGGCTGTCAGTGCCTTGAAGGAAGAGTCCATGTTTGTCTCATTTGTATTGCAGTGAATTGCACTCAATAGACATAAAATAAATATTTGTAATTTGAGCTTATGAAGTTACATAATACTTGAAATAGCTTAGTAAGCGTTTTGATAGTAACTACTCAATTCTACCCAATACCCACAGTTGGCTCTCAGCTGCAGAACAACCAATTGCCAAGTAGCTTATTAGATTACTACGGTATTTATACTGTTCATTTATTAAAGTGACTCAAATTACCAAGAGAAGTATTTTACAGTCCAGTCATTTCAGGTATATTAACAATATCACCTAAGTAACTACATCATAATTCAATAATTTATCAAAAATGTCTGGAAAATAGTTGATCCAGGCTGTATAAACTTTTTTCTATTAACCCAGATATACGGATTTTTGAAAAGTAATTTTGAGTTTGTTTTGTCATTTATCACATAATACATGGGTACTAGCTTAATCCATAGCTAAGAAATGTGTCATATTTCTAGCGAACAAATGCTGGAACACAAAGAGGACATTTTAGTAACATTCTATAACAAGGGATAACTCATAATAAATATTAAAAAATGAGGGGCCAGCCCGGGGGCACAGCGGTTAAGTGCACACGTTCCACTTCTGGGCGGCCCAGGGTTCGCCGGTTCGGATCCCTGGTGCGGACGTGGCACCGCTTGACAAAAAAAAAAAGCCGTGCTGTGGTAGGCATCCCACATATAAAGCAGAGGAAGATGGGCATGGATGTTAGCTCAGGGCCAGGCTTCCTCAGCAAAAAGAGGAGGACTGGCAGTAGTTAGCTCAGGGCTAATCTTCCTCAAAAAAAATGAGAACAACAGTGCCTCATGGTGAAGGATGAATAACTCGGGCCAGAACCAGAGAAGTTATGGAAAGACTTGAGACCTTCCATAAAGACGTAGTTGGAGACCCCAGGTTAGGACTGACAAGTTTGGAAGCCATGCCGACCAACAAGGATAGGGCAGAGGACAGATAAAATCAGATATTCCGACATCCAGGCAACTAGCAGAGAAGAGACCATCTGTCAGAATTGAAGGAGCAGCCTAAAGTGGCATAAGTGTGGATGTGAGGGTTTGGTAAGAGTGGGGATCTTGGAAATAGGCCATTTCTGAGAAGAATCATTGTATGCTTCCTAGACAGAAGCAAGCAAAGGCTAGGGGATATATCCCGAGTCTTCAGGGGGATATTAAAGGATGCATCTGGTAGGAGCAAGACCTAATGGGACAGAGATATGGCCAACTCTTAACAGCATAGTAAGCAGACTAGCCCCCAACGATGTCCAGGCCCTGATCCCTGGAACCTGTGAATATGTTACCTGACATGGCAAAGGAACTTTGCAGATATAATAACAGTTAAGGACATTAAAATAGGCAGATTGCCCTGGTGCTTCCTAGTTAATCACATGAGCCATTAGAAGCAGAGAACTGGCTTCAGCTGGGAGGAGAGGTCAGCGAGATGAGGCAGAAGAGGGGGTCAGAGGGATTCGAAGCATGAGAGGGACTTGACCCACATTGCCGTCTTTGAAAATGAAGGAGACCACAAGCGAGGGAATGTGGTAGCCTCTAGAAGCTGAGAACCACACCTGGCCAACAGCCAGCAAGGGAACCTGGATGTTAGTCCTACAACCACTTAAAACTGAGTTCTGTCACCAACCTGAATGAGTTTGGAATTGGATTCTTCTCAGAGCCTCCAGTAGACACGCAGCCCTGCTAATACATTGATTTCAGCCTTGAAGTCTCTCAGCAGAGTCCCCAGCTGAGCCCATCTGGTCTTCTAACCTGCAGAACTGGGAGATAATAAATTTGTGCTTTAAGATGCTCAAATTGCAGTAATTTGTTATGGCAGGCGTAGGAAACTAATACAGATATCAAAAGGCACCCTATAACTGTCAAGAGACATGAATGGCTTAGAAAGGATTTTGGCTATTACCCTTTCTTTTACTTTCCTTGACTTCCCCATTTAGACAAAAAAAAAGAGATCACATTTTCAAAATGCTGAGGAATTCAACATATTCAATACTAGAGGTGAGACAAAAGTGACTTCATTATTCATTGGGCATATTCTGTAGAACTCTGACATTTTGTGATAGGACTATCCAATCTTTTGAACTCCAAAATTCAGTAAAGTAACGTATAATGTGTGATTTGAACTAAAGCTTTTGATGACTGGATCTTTCATATGTCTTACTATCCTTTTGCAAAAATGCTTCAGCTTGTTTTTATATTAAATTATTCCAGGTAAATAATTATCCATTTAACTGTGTAGACTTTCCCCAATAATTTCCACTCAATTATAATGAATTTTGTCTCAGATTCTAGTAATTTGGACTTTAGAGAAAAGTTAGAAAGTAAGTTTTTAATTGGTTCAATAACATCATATATACTATAGAGATCTCCCAAGATGTTTTTGAAGCTGTAGCAACTGAACACGAACTTATCAAATATGAAATTAGAATTAGAATGATTTCTATAGAGGAGAAAAAACTTTTTTGGTGACTATTTAGCCCCTTGATCTTAAAACATGGCATACCACACCTGAATCATCCTACTTGGTAAGAACAACTATTCAAGACACTCAGTGAAGAACTTTCCCCATGAGCCCATTTTAAAAGTGGATAAAATGCTGATACTTTCAAAATTGCCCGTGTAACTGCAGTATTATTAAATGATGCCTCAACTGGATCAGCTGTGTTTTAGGAAGAACTTTGAAATTATTGGGTGAGAGATTCTAGCACATGGACTTTCGCATTCCCCTTCCTTTCCTAAGGAAAAAGTTTCAATTTCATGTAGTTGGTCTTTTTTTGAGGCTCATGGTCTCCTTTGGGTGTTCTAGACAAAACTGATATTCAGTTGATTTATGTTTTATTTGCACAACCATGGACTTTCAATCTTAATTTCTTCCACCTTTCTAATAGTCGTTTGTCATTAACACCATTTGGATATAGTGTGAGGAAAAACACATCATATGGACAATTATTTTTCTTTTCCACTAGAAGTGATGAGGAGAGTTGAAGGTGGGGGAGATAGGCTTTCAAAAAACAGTATTAGGACATGAATCTTTACATATTTGTTCCATAAGTTTACTCATATAAGCTACCAAAGGGAAAATCAAAGATTCTTCTATATCATTACAATATGATTTTAAATCACCTCCTGGATGACATGCTTGAATCTTGGCTATATGGCTTAATAACTGTATTATCTTGACAAGTTATTTAAATGTATTAAATGTAAAAAGATTATTAACCAACCTCATAGTTTGTTGTAATAATTAAGCGAAAGGAAATAGTGTTGATGAAGTGCTTAAGAAAAGTATCTGGAATGTAGTTAGCTCTCAAAAAATTTTATAATTTTTATTAAAAATGGCAATTAACAAGGAGGGAAAAAAAGCAAACAAAGATTAGGAATCCACAGAAGAAAATGCAGGGGTATGTGTGGGAGGTTGAGAAGAAGGAGGAAGATTTTCCACCCCCATTGGGAGTAATGGGGAACCACTAAGCAGTAGATTTGATTCCCCAAGGATACCCCGCAAGCTTGGATGGTGGTGCTTACAAATATTCTCTGAATTGCTCTGTTTGGGTGCAGTTTTTCTCAGCCACTTTTATAGGGGAACATCACTCATAGAGAGTCTTCTTAGCTTCAACTAAACGTTTAGACTCAAGGCCGTCATAGACCACAGGTGGCACCAGCACTCAGATGAATCTAGGCAGGAAGCAGATTACCTAGGGCAACGTCAGCTAATCTTCTTCTTTGAGAGTTCTTGAAACAATTCACGCAGGAGGTCAGGTCTGAGGTGAGTTTTACATCAAACAAGTGCAGGAGATGCACTAAGTTAAAAGCTTCATACATCAGAGGAGCCTGTATCTTTTGTAACATCCCCATAGGCATAGCTTTTAGAATTCCCGTTAGGGACGTGGAACTCAGAAAAGCCAAAACGTATGACTTCTCATCAGTGTTTATAATGGATAATCCCAGTCAAGATATGATTTGCCAATCATGGGTCACTTTATTATGCTCAATGTGGCTTCATAATTTAGTTGGTACATATTATATTTACCGAGTTACCAGGAGAACAGAGAGAGTTACCAAAGGTCAGATTCTCATGCAGCAGGAGAATAGGGTTTATTAGCCCTTTATCTGCAATGAGTAGCTGGTTTATTGAGAAATAATATATTGGAATATAAAATAAAACTTATTTTTCAATAACTGTACCAAATGTGCTCTGCTGAATTCTGACTTTTCTACTTGTCACTTGAGCTCTCATAACAAAATCATAGCTATAGTCATTAACTTTTCAGTTTTATTTAGTTATTAAATCAGTTACTTAAAGTTCTTAAAACTCAGTCTCATAGACATTTCATTACCCTTTCTCCATTCTGCCCTGCCCTCCAGAATATGGAGTGGAAGGGGTCTGGGTCTGGCTCTCACAAGACTGTGTTGCACATGTGTCACACACGTTGGCACAGAGAGAAGAGATGTAGCAGAGAAGGCCCTTAGTGGACTGCCTGGGGTGACATAGTTTCTTTTTGGATGGTCACACTGCTGACATGGCATGTACACAGATTTTGACAAGGATGGATGGTGTGTCACCAACTGGCCCCACTGATAAAGGTCTCAGTCCTTAGTGGCTCCCCTATGCAGGGAACATGGGAGATGTGTCCGTATCTCCTGACCAGCCCCCACTAGCAGCCTTACCTGACATGCCTCTTAAATATGGATGGTAGCCCCCAATCTCATCCATCATCCATTATCACCTGAGGCCACAGGCATGTGCAGGATTCATTTGGCCTCTCAAGAAGTGGGAACTCAAGGGTGACCAAGGGGAAAGAGGAAGAAGGTGGTCCGGGACCCATCTCTGCTGACAGAACCCAGCATGCCGTCTCTCCCCAGTACTCTCCTCCCTAGCAAGGAAAGAATTGCCAATCTCCTCTTCTTATAGGCATATCATCTTTAATGAGCTATTTCATTAGAACTTTCTTTCCTTAGATTTATGGAAGCAAAGTACTCCCTTCTCTCCCCCTCCCAAACTCTGCTTTCCTGAAAGCGACAATTCTCCTTCCATGCCATCTTAATGTGGGTGTATGGGAGAGAGAGTTGGTGATGGGAGGAGTATAAATCTAGTGGTGCTGAGCCAGCACCTCCTAGCAAAACCGGATGGGGGATAGCTGGTCCAAAAGCTAGCAGTTCTAAAAGGAAGAAGGTAGGGTGACCTGTAAACACCTTTGTTCTCAGGTGTGGGTCAGGAAGACAACATCCTGCTCTGCGCTTAACGTTGTCAGGTTCAAATATGCTAGAAAGACTGTGTGGCAAGTTCTTCTAAAGGCTCTTACCTCCACTGATGGATTTCCTTCCAGGCAGGCTTCAGTCCATCATTAGTGAGATTATAACAACAGGTGCAAAGGGTTTTTAGTATCCTTTCTGTCTGGGGAATATATAGCTTAAACTCGCCAAAGCTCAAGGGAGCAAATTGGTCTCATAAAGACTGGGGCTTAGGTGAGATCTTCTACTTAGTCTCTATTATTATGACATTTAGTTTAGAAAAAATCATATTAAAAAGTCTTCAGTCCTCATTTTTCGTCACTGACTTGTAAAGTACCCTCCTTTTTATTCAGTTTCATTAACTTTCTATTCTTCACAACTGAGGAAATTGAATTTAATAAGCTACGATTCTTTACTTCTCAAGCACCTCCTTGGTTCATTCACTTTTGAAAATTAATCAATAACAATCATTTTAAATAAATCGCTAAGACTTCCCTCATTCTTTCCTTTTAACAAAGCAAGTTCAAGAACATTAATTTCTCTTTGCTTATCCTTTGAGTCAAGTGGGGAATTTTATTTTTTCTAAGCTTCATTGCTATTTGTGGTCACAGTGGCATTCAAACACTTGCCTCAAGCGGTTTAATTGGGATGCTATTGGGCTCTATACAAAGAATAACTGCAAAACTGTCTATATGAACAGGTACAGTTCCCTGTCTAGTGAGGTGAGGGTAAGTGACTCATTCTGACAGTGTGCCCGTTAAGTCTTTAGCATAAAGTGTTCTCTGATGATTGGCTGGTCATTTAAGCCAGGCACTTCTTGTCTGTATTGTAATCTCATCTCCTTTTGTGTGTTTCCCTCTCCAAAACTCTCAAGAACCTATCCATATCCATACAATTCTAAGAGATCATTACATTTTAAACAATGAACAGTGTTCATTCTGGAAGCCATGTTGGTGTGACCCTTAGACCTGTCAAGAGAAAGTCTGCTTTAAGGAAGCCAGTTAGCTGACAGCCTCCAGCTGTCACACCTTCAGGGTCCACCATGGCTTTCTTGCCAAGGCCACCCTCTCTCCTGGCCAACCCCAGCTTATCGCTAAGCACAGTAGAGGTACTTGAGCTGGGTCTTCCTGCCTGAAGTGCTGCTTTAACAGACCATCTTTACTCTTGGCTTCCTTATCAGTCTTCGTTCAGAGCTGCACTGCGATCAAGGATGTTCTTGTCCAACGCTCCTCCTTCCCCATCTCCCTTCCAAGGTGTCAGACCTGCATTGTGGACTGGAAACTCTCCCTGCTTATTTCTGCTCCCTCTGCACTTTATCTTTCACAGGCATTTCCCGCATTAAATCTCTTGCACTCTTGGTGTCTGTTTCACAAAGGTCCCTGACTGTAACAACAAAGTCTGTTCAGCCTACAGGAGAAGCATGTTATTAGAGAAAGGAATAGAGAGATGTTATCTCCCACTTCTCCTGCTTCACCAAACCATTACCTCTTCTAAGGCTCCAAACCTAGAGAAGACAACTAACAGAAATGGATGAAGACAGTCTTTCAAAATAAACAAATTAGCCCTGTTCGTATGTGAATTCCATCACAAGATCACATATGGATTATTCAGAACACACACGTTAAACTATTCTCATTGGAGAAATGTATTTGTTTTCATTTCAACTAGCTAAAAGGAGAAGAAAAACACAGGAATGACAAGTAAGGGATTAAAAAGAAATCTTTAATCTTTGGTTTGATTAGCCTTAAAGTTTCAAAACAAACCCTCAAGCCCATTCTTCCCCTATTCTTGTTCTTGCAGAGTTCCTTCCCTTGCCCAGAGTTGTATATGAGCTTGGGGAGTCTCCTGAAGGTCCAAGGCCCTGGGTCCTGGCATGTCCCTTTCATTCTGGGGTTACCTAGTGCCCTCTCTGGCAGTTGATGCCTGGATACTCCTTCCAGATAAAGTTTTGCTGAATCCTTCTATCTCCCTGGGGTTTTACCTGAAAACAGGTATAGACTCTTGTATTCCCAAGCCCCTCAAACCCTTTTTGGGGTAATTCTACTTCCACATGGCTCTACCCAAGAAGGATGCTAAAGGGTGTCTTTCTCTCAAGCATCAAGTACCTTGCTATCATTTACTCCTCTAATTTTACACATTACTCCTCTGCACATCTAATTCTAATTCACCAGCACAGATTATCTTTTTCAAACTGATGAGGGAGCCATGATCTCTTTTTTGCTCTTTCTCTCAAATATTTTGTCTATGCCCCTGAGCTTCCAGCTTCCCCTGAAGGCTTAGGTGTCTGTAACAAAAAAGCCAAAAGATATCAGACTTTCTGCTTGTTGTGCTGTACATCCTTCTCATGGGGCAGCAAGTACAATAGCAACCATCTGCTTTAAAAGGAAAAGAAAAAGGGGAAAATACCAAGAGGGGGGAAGAACCATATTATTCTGCCACTTCAGCATATGGCTAGACAATAAATTAAACTTTTAGCATTGAGAGGAACATTAGAGGTTTCCTAATTCAACGTCCTTTCGCATCTTCTCTATTATATGTTCCTAACAGATGGTCAAGCAGACTCCATAATTCCAATGACAGGTAATTCAGTTCCTCATAAGAGAATGTGTTACAGAATTGTTAGATTTCTTAGAAAGTCCATCCTTACATTGAGTTGGCATCTGTTTCCATTATGGGCAGCAGAGGATGTCCATCATTGTCAAAGGAACAATAGCTTGGACCTAAATAGACAGAGATGGTTCAGATAGTCTCTGTAAGCTTTTGTTTCTTCATCTACAAAATGGAGCTGATAATATCTGTTTTTCAGAATCGTAGGGAAGATTAAATGATACAAATATACATAAATACTTGGGATAGGGTTTGTCACGGTAGATGTTTGCTAAATATTATTACGGTCCAAACCCGTTCATTCATTCACTCATAAAATATGGACTTAGCATTTTTCTTGTTCTAAACCCTGGAAAAGACCCTGGTAATATATCAGAGAATAAAACAAATGTATAGTATATCTTGTCTTAAGAAGATATAGTGTATCCAGAATAAACATTGAATTACAAATGTTAGAAGTGCTGTGAAAGAAAACACCAGGGTACTAAGAGAGTACATACAAAGGGAATCATAAGGAACAGTCCACTTTCTGTCTGTCTGTCTGTCTCTCACTCTCTCTCTCACACACTCCCAACACAGACACACACACACAAGCATAGTGTATTATCTTCTCCTACAAAGTCTTCTTATCTCAGGAATAAACGTTCCAATATTTTCATCCATTCTTCAGATAGCTTGGTTATGGAATGGCTTAGTTTTTCCTATTAAATTATGGAACATTGAAAGATCCTTCCTTACTGTAAGGTTAAAAATAAAGAATTTGTATTATTTTAAATTTTTTTCATGTTTTTAATTCCCCTTCAATAAGTAAAATAACAATAGTAAACATATGCATTCCTTTTCTAGTTTGCACATTCTATGTACCCACTTTTATTTGCCATTATATTTGCTTCTGTAATGTTGAGGGGGATAATAAATTTTAACAGAAACTATAATCTATTTCCTTCGGGGAACTTATTTTAAAGTTATTTATAAGATATCTAGTGACCAAAAGTGCTTGCTCGTAGAAGACGCTCTCTCTTTCTTTATGAAGTGGACCTCTTTGGAGCTCACTATACCTTTATATCAGAAGATCACATTTTAAAGAATGTTCAGATATTCATACTAACCCCACGCAGGTGCCCAGAATTCCTACGCCCCACCAGAATTTCCTCTTCTGTATCTCTGTCTCTTTGACACTGAAATTATATAAATTTGAATATAAATGTGAGATTTAATCATTAAATCAGCCCATTAAAGAGATTTACAAAGTATCAGTTGGGCCTGTGCATTCCCTGCCCGTTCCCTAAGGAAAATTACAATACATTGTCTCAATTTCCTTGGGTAGTACCAAAAGAACCTTATTGGCATCTGGCTACTTGGCCATCATACTGAAAAACAAACAAACAAACAAAAACAGAAAAGGAAAAATAGATACTACAAGTTGATGAGAAAGATGAGAGTGGAAACGTCTCCTTGGCCTTGCCGCAAGGGTGCTTGGTCTCCCTTTCTGACCCATCCACCCATCCTAAGTAGCCTCCTTTGGATGAGCTGGCCAGGCTGTGGCACCATCACAAGGCTTCCCTCTGCGGGGCTTGTGTGCCAAGTGGGCACTTCCTGACTACACACATTCACCAGCAGCTACAACAACGGGGGCAGAGTTTAACAAGGCAGGCACTTGTCCCTGAAAGAAGGAAGAAATGTCACCCTCCCTCTGTGAATAGATGTGGTTGTTCTCACTATCTCCCTTGAAAGCCTCTTTTTCTGAAGTACAAGCTATTATGCAAAGGCAGATGTACAGTCTGGGAAGGTTTCCAAGTTCATCACTGAAAAGCATGAGGTATTCAGTGTCAGCGCCTCCACGGAAGTGTCTGTCTCTGTCTCAGTCTGCCTGGCTGGCAGCGATGAAGAGTAGACAATTGTCCAGAAGCTGGGTAGGTAGGACCCCAAGCATTGTGGCAGAGGCATTCCCAGCCAGTTTCTCAGTTTTCAGAGGCGATAAGGTTTTCCCTGACAGCTGCACACATTTCACACAAGCAAAACGTTCCGCTGATGAGGCAGCAGCTTGAGTTTGTCTGAATAAGCTACACTCTGGGAAAAGTGTAACGTCACAAGCTTCATTGCACAGCGTCTATGAGAGAAGATGCAAGAACAACTGCCATTGTTACTGCTTCAGCACAGGTGGAGGATGATGCTATGTTTGTTAACTGCTTCACCAATTTCCGTTGTGTTCCCTGAGACTTGGGATGCTAACTAGAAGCCATGGAATAAATTATGAAGATAACGATTTGTTCCCCTGCTATAACGCAGGAGGGTATCAGACTCATAATCCTTGCCATCTGTAATACAGGATCAAGTTGTCCAACTCCTAGAAGCCTTTGAAAACATTCACATCTCTTAGAGTTCCACAGATTCAAGTAGATAGTTCAAAGTTTTTTATAAGAAGTGCTTGAAGCTAAGTAGCAACCTGTGTTTCTTTTTCTCACATTACCCATATCTCCTCCTTAGTGGAAGTGCTTTCAGCACCGAAGCAGGTGTTATTGTAGAAAGGCTGGCTCAGATGAACCTTGGAGGATGGTAAGTGCCTCCAGTCTGGAATGTAACCTGAGAAAGAGGGGGAGGTGCTCATTCCATTGTCTCTGATTCTAAGCACTGTTCCAAATCCATGTCTTAGATAACAAGCAGAGTGGGGGCAGTGCCACGAGGCTGAGTACAGCAGTAGGTGGGTGCTCTCACTGTGTGCTGGCCCAAATTAAAGGAAACAGGACTCTCAAACCTTTTCATGTGGATTTCCAGTTGTCTCCAGATTTCAAAACTTTTTAACTTTAAACATAATTTTAAGATTTTGTTGTTGTATTAGCTTGTTTATTTTATCCAAGGGGGAAAAAAGCAAATTTGTGATATTTGAGAATGTTAAGGGGCCAGCCTGGTCGCATAGCAGTTAAGTTTGTGTACTTCACTTCGGCATCCGGTTTGGATCCTAGGCACAGACCTACACACCACTTATCAAGCCATGTTGTGGCAGGCGTCCCACATATAAATTAGAGGAAGACAGGCACAGATGTTAGACTAGGGCCAATCTTACTCAGCAAAAATAAGAGGATTGGTAGCAGATGTTAGCTCAGGGCTAATCTTCATCAAAAAAAAAAAAAGAGAGAGAGAATGTTAAATTCTAAAATCCTCACCATAGCCCGTCAAGCACTGCATGTTCTGGGTCCTGTCTTCCTCTGTTGCCTCATCTGAGGCCACTCATCCTATGAAAGCAAAGACTACTTTGCTTTTGGTTTTGGTTTTGTTTGCCTAGCAAGATTCATCAAGGCAGGGTTCATGGAATTGATGTGATAGGAGCAAGACCACCATATTAGATAGCAATTGCTGTGTGACAATCCACATTAAAATATGGTGGCTTAAGATAATAAACAATTGTTATTGTTCATGATTCTAAAGGCCAGCTAGTAAATCTTCTGGCTCAGTTAGAAATGTTCATGCATCTGTGATCAGCTCTGAGTCAGACATGCAGCTCAATGCATCTCAGCTGAGCTCTCTTACGTGTTCTGGGACTGCTGGTAGCTGGCCTGTAATGAACTTGACTCTTCTCCAGGTGATCTGATATCTTCCAGAAGGCCATCCTGGGCTTTTTCTCAAGGCATAACAGGGTTCCAAAAGAGAAAGAAACCTCTCAAGGATGCTTGAAGCCTAGGGTTTGAACTAGCGTGTTCTTTGCTCATTCTGTTGGCCGAGCAAGTCCAGAAGCCAGCCCAGATTAAAGAACTGGAGAAATAGAAATTAAAGAGCTGGATCCTTGATGGAAAGATCTTCAAAGTCATACTGTAAGAGGCACAGGGCAATTTTTGCAGTCAAGCCACAACAAACTTCGAAGATAAGTAGGAGCCCAAATGGCAGAGATAACATGTCAGAATGCTTTCAGGTATAAGGAACAATAAGAAAAAAGCACAAAACATGTTTCATAAAGGGCAAAGAGAATTTCTATTAGACCAAAGATTTTTTGTTTGCAAACACAGAAGAACACTGGGGGTCTGTGAGAAAAACATTAGAAATGCCATTTGGGAGGGATCCCTATTCCATGCTAAGAATTAGAGCTTTGTTCTATGATCATTTGAAGATACAAAGAATTATTGCAGAGGATCGCTTGCTTGCAGTTTAACACTGATTGTCATTCCCTTATTCTTGAAACTCTCTCCTCCTGTGGATTTGGTGATAACCACTTTTTCCTGATTTAATTCTTATATATCTAATGTTTATTCTTCAGTTTTATTTACTAGCTCTCTTTCCCTGTCCTCCCTTAATTTTGGACCGCCCAAAATTCCATCCTTGCCCTTCTCTTCTCATTCAAATATTGTTCTTCAGCAATTTCATCCACTTAATTAATTTTCACTAATGCCATATTGATGACTCCCTGATGTATACCCCTCCCAGACCATCTCCTGAACTCTGGACTCTTTTATCTAACTGTATCCTGGATACTCCGCATTCATTTCCTACTCAGCTTGTCTCACAGTGAATCTTATTGTCTTCCCTTCTATGCTTCTCATTCTCTTGTGTACTCTTTCAGTTAAGGACCACTATTATCCATTCAGATGCACAAGCCAGAAGTTCAGGAAAGACCTGAACATCCTCCTTCTCTCTCTCTCACCTCTCACGTTTAGTCTTAGTCCCTGTAAATTGTATCTCCTAACGTTATCAGTACTATAATGCTCCATTTATTAGCTGTGGCTGTGGTTCCTTGGGTTCTTCAAGTTATGTAGTAAGGACAGAGATAATTTCTTCACCTAATTTTGGTTGGAAGAGGATTTTCTTGGTGTTATAATGGTATCTTGACCAAGTGATGTTTAAGTTAAAACACCTTATCTCTCTTTGAAGCATTCCATAATCTTCTCCCTACAATGTAAGAATGTGCACCTTATTACACGAGGCAGGTGCATTATCTGGAAAGACTGGAAAGAGCAAGCTTTCCACTGTGACTTTTGACCTTTATATACACTTGGCCCCAGAAATCTCATCTTCATGTGACTTACAGTCATATGGTATATATATAGTATTTCTCCATGGTCACAGCAAAAGCTCAGCCCAGCGTTTCTCTACATCTTGGCAAAAAGTTTATTGGGTTATTCCTTTATGTCAATACTAAATGAAAACCAAAATTGCATAACTCCTACCCACTATCCTCAAGCAAAAGTTGTTTAACCAGCTTTCTTCAAAGAAAATCTTGTGTGGAAGTACACACATAAAACAAAAACAGGGCTGACTTTGTTGAAGTATAGGATAGAGGTATGAGAACTTTGCCCCTTGGTCTTGTAACCATCCCACCTAAGCATCTCCTGCAAGACTCCTAAAGTACCTCTAACTAATCTTAAGGCCCTGAAGAAACCAATTTAAAAATTGTGAGCCTAAAGGAAACAGGAGACCAATATACTCTAGGAAAAGAGCACATGTCGTTTACTGTACATTGAAATACACAATGACTTGGGCTATATCTGACCAATTCTAGAAAACAAAAGAGGAAACAAGTTGCATTAATTGGAAGAGATTGGATTCAGAATCTTGACCAGACAAATGAAGAGACAGAATAGCTCCCCAATTCCAGTAAAAACTGTACATGTCATAGACTCTAGAATGGGGCCTTTGTTCTCTAACCCCTTGTCATTGCTTCCCTGACCTGGACTGCCCTAATCATCTTTTCCCTGTACGCCTGCAACAGACGCACTGGTCTCCTTGCTGCCAGTTCCTGGCCCATCCAGTAGATGAGCAGAACAATTTCCAAAGTTATCTTCTTAAAACTAAATATTACCCCATCACTTACATTATCTATGAAATATGGAATAAAGTCCAAATTACATCTCTGCCACACAAAACCCACCCAGAGAGGTCCCTGCCCAGACTCTGTTGGTAATTCTCCTGCCTTTCTTAACTCACATCTTATTCTCTAGCAATGGTGAAAGACTGGAGATCTTCAAATTCACTATATTTCATATCTACACGGCCCTGCAAAATTGTTCTCTCTGTCTGGAATTCGCATTTCCCTAGTGTCTTCCTGGTGCAAACCCACCTATCCCTCAATACACAGATTTACTATCACCTTCTCCAGTCTGAAGACTCTCTAATCCCTCTCACTTTAGGCAGCCTTGACCCTTTCCTCCTATTGCCATGGCACTTTGTAAACGCACATAATGTTTCACTAATCATACTGTATTATAATTATTTAATTACATGTCTCTCTGCCAAACTTAATTGTTTTTTCCACCAGTGAAAGGAGCAAGTCATATTTACCTTCACATCACCAGCCCCTAACACAGTACATGGCATCTGGTGATGGTCCAGTGACACTTGATGAACAAGTAATAAGAGCACAGCTTTAGGAAAATAAGTACAGGAGCAGCATGGAGAATGAATTAGAGAAGAAGCCATATGCAAGGGACCATATAGGAGGCTGTTGAGATGGTCCAGGTTGGTGATAATAATAATAAGGTGAAGCAGGAAATTGTCACTGGACACGGAGCAAAGAAGAATATTGGGCATCTTTGAAAACGGGATCCACAGTACTCGGTAAGGGCTTGAAAGGGCAGAAGGAGTAATTGACAATAAATCCAAGGTTGAATGTGGAGCTAAGAATGAATGATTTTAATAAGAAGCCTTGGGAATGCAGGAGGGAAGCTAAAGAGCTTCATTTGGATATGGTCAACATGGACTCTGTGCTGTGCACAGTGCTAGCTATGGCCGGCATGTGGCTTTTTTGTACTATCCCCAGCTTTTAAAGCAGAACTCAGGGGAAAATGGGGGCTCAGGAATTGCTGACTGCATGACCCTAAGAACACTTAGTCATGGTCAACACTATAGTTTCTGACTTTCTCTTCTATGACATTGGAGACCACATGATATTTGTAAAAATCAAGCAGCATATTTCCCAGCAGTTTAAGAAGAATAGTTCTAGATGAAAGAAATATTTTTTAAAAGATATATATATATATATATATATATCTGCATATATCCATCACTCTGATTTATATAACATCTAAAGTATAGGGAATCTATGTTAGCTATAATGAACTGTTCTGTTGAACTTCTTTTAAATTACTGTCAGGATTTTTTCCTTAAAGGTCACTCATTGTAATGGAGTAAGAATGGATCTAAATCTGGATTAAAAGCTTTTGGTGAATTCAGAGTGTTTCTCCCCCTGACTCAGAATTAATGACTTAATGTTCCCTGAAGATTTCATATCTATAGGCAACATACACCATCTTGCTGAATTAAAATCCTAGTAAGGGATTGAATTAATTCTTCATTTCTAATGAGGAGAGAATAATACCAACAATGATTCTAATTATATCTTGGACTTATAGAGCTCATTTCTTCCTAGGAGCTAAAGGAAGGCTACATCTGTTACTTAATTTATACCTGGAGATGAAGTGATCTGACAAATGTTACATGGCATGCCGCTGTAACTAGAGTCTTATGTGATCAGAAATCTGGATTTTTGATTCTACATTTGATACTGTTTATTCCAAGTTTCAGGGGTTTTTTTTTTTGTAAAAAAAAAAAAGAGAGAGAAAAAAGAATAATAAATTGTAATTCACAGAATGAAAAATTCTAATTTGACATAAGGAAGAAATTTCCAAAAGAGACATCTCTGAAGCTTTGGAGTGTGGATTATAAGGAGAAGTGAAATTGCTTTTACTAGAAGTGTTCTAACATAAAGCAGATTCATATATGTCTGAAATTATCTATTGGGATATATCTGATTGAGGCAAGGTGGAATAGATTATTCCTCAAGGTTTTTTCTACTCTTATAATTCAGTGATTTCTCCGTGATATGTTCTGGTACAA